GGAAGTAAGCTCAACAATTATGAAACAGGAGATTCCTCGGAACCCAACTTTTCTTCGTATAGAAAAGAAATTCCTCATAACATCAAAATCGGCCAGAGTTTGGTCATGGTAACATTATTAATCTGATTTTTGCTTTATAAGTTGATTTTTGAGACTACCAGTAAATCAGTGTAATGAGATGTATTCACTCTATTTCGTTTAAGCTAATGAGGGACTGGCCTTCCTTGAAATTCACATCTGCCCTGTGGGCCAAGTGCACTCGTGACAATGTGGCGTAGTGGTTAACGTGTCGAGATTGCATGTTGCAATATCATCTTTCGAGTCCAGCTGGGGGTGCTTAAAAGGCCAGTTGAGACAAGGTCCAAACGGTGGTCCACTTCAGCCGAGATGTGAACAACTTTTGGGAAAGCAAAGCTTTGTGAAAGTCAACTAAAGCCTCAGCTCTACTTATTTGATTGTGGAAAAATGCTACTACCAGTCCTTCGTCACCTTAAACCAATTTGGGTAAATGCATGCCACATTGTCAATCTGGTCACTTCTATTCGGCTGTGGTTGCCAGCATAATAGCGAATAAACATTTAGTACATTTATGTCGTCCATTTAAAAGTTCCAGTCACTGGCTGGACTGGCTGAGGCGGGAAACATACGGCCTCCTATCACCTTGCCAAACTGGTCTCAGCCATCGCAATTGTTTCGGTGGACGACGCTTAGCGTACGCTCAGGTTGTGGTCAGGTGTAGACAAGTTTCTCAAAAATGTCTCTTGATGGATGGAGCATAAGTGTTGAAGGATTCCAGAGTGCTATTTCCTGTTTTATCATTGTACTTTGCACATCTGAGGGCCATTAAATACTCCAATTTGGCTTTTTTCTAATGGAGATTTGACGGAATACACTACTTACTTTCGATATAAGTAGTAGAAGTTTTTTTAAAGTATCAGTTATTCCTGAATAAGACTTTAATCAGGTTAAGTCGCTTAATGTTAGATAAGGACTGATAATTTAATTTTTTCCCAATTGTCTAGGTAGGTCTCGCACGGACATTGAAGTTCAGTCCGTCTTGTCTCTTCAAAATGTATCCAATCAACGTCCCCAACGAGGATTCGAAGTTGAGGTGTAGCACTAAATTTCCTCTTATGCTGTAGGATTGCAATTCTCTTCACAAATCAGTGAGGATGGAAGATTTGCTTTTTCTGTCTGCTGTACAGTCGGCCCGTGAAACCGCACGTCCACGGTTCGAATCTGGTTGGTGGCACTGAGGAGGCGATGAGAGACGAGCTCGAAACTGGGCCAGAATCGGTTTGG